AAAATAAAAAAGAAAAAGCAGGTAATTTCAAAGGAATTACCCACTTTGCTCACCCTTACCCAACCCAAACAAATAAATCCAGTACCCTCCTAAGTAAAATTTGTGAACTCCCCGACTCATTGAGTTATCCGTTCTAATTTTGACTTAGGAAGTTACCCACTTTGCAAATAAAAAAATACACACCTCTTTTAAAGTCTTCTAGCCATTTTACACACATCTAGAAAACTGGCAATACTCCATTCAGAGAGCTTTCGTCTGTTGTCTAGTGTTTCAATACAAAATAGTGCTGTAACTTGGTAAATAATTGCCCATAAATTTTTGATCAGATTTAAGTCAGGACCACTCTAACACTACAAAGGCTTTTGCAAGATGGCTGGTATGCTTGGGATCGTTGTCTTGTTAGAAGCGCCAATGATCACCAAGTATCTGGGAGATCTCAGGAATATGTGTACAAAGGATTTTCACATAAAATTTGGCGTTCATAATTTGTTCAAAACAAAATATTTTGTTTTCCCTTTCGTGCAGAAACCACCCCACGCCATAAATCTTCATACAATCTTTAGGTATAAGCCGAACCAGTCTTTCTCCTTTATACCATCGTTCAACGGTGTTTCTAAATAGTTGAAAAGCAGTTTCATCAGTAAAAATAGTTTTATCCTATCAGTTATTAATATGTTTTTTGCCCACTCCACATGCTTTACCTTGTGTGTTTCGGTCAGTATAGGGGTTGCTTTAGGCAGTCTTTTTACATAACCAATACTTGAAAGATGCCTTCCAATGGTTCTATACGATACTTCTACGCCTATATTTTCTAATTTTCTTGCCAAAGTTCTTGTGGAAAGAGAGGTATCATGCCTTACATATGACCAAGTGCATGGGAGACATTTGCGGTTATCTTTTTGGGTCTCCAGCATGCTTTATAGTCCCATTTTCTTTTAATATTTTTTATAGTATCGTAAATAGTGGACTTTGGGATGTTTGTTAACCTATGTAATTCTTTTACACTATGAATACTGTTATTCTATAAATGTAATAAGACTTCACGAGACGTTTTTTTATTCAAAGAAGACATTACGATGAGTATTTTCTTGCAAAAGGAAAGGTGTAGGTCTGTCTCTTATACACATCTAGATGTGTATAAGAGACAGCTATTGTACATTACAACTAGGATTACAACTAGATAGCTTGGAAGCCATAACTCAAGACCGTTCTGAAAAAAAGGGAGTGTTTTTTTTTGGAGAAAACTGATGGTATATTTATATATTGAGAACATATACTGTCTCTTATACACATCTAGATGTGTATAAGAGACAGATATATACTTGTAAAAGTAAAAAATCGCGTTGTGAGTAAAAAATGATTATATCTCATGTGATTCTGCAATTGATGATGTGCTGATGTGCGGAGCTTGTATATTGCGCCCATCAATATTATCGATGTATAGATTGTATAGTATATTAGTAATAGTTGTGGTTTTATTATATATTAAGTGGCTTAGTGATTAAATAGTATAATTTTCTGTCCGACATGATTATTTTAAATAATTGAGACATATTGTGGGAATAGAAATAATAAAGATCGGCAAATTATCTAAATTTTTTGATTTAATTCACATTGATGCATTTTTTTTTTAAATATCACCGTAAATATAAAATATTGTACTTTTATCAATGTATTTATTTTTTCCTTTAAATAAATCGGGCGAAAATATTTTTATCCATCTCAAGTATCATGATTAATTTCGAATATAAATATTTTTTATTTTTCTTTATAGAAAGTTTCCATGAATTTTTTTTTTTTACTTTGCTAAAAAGTAGAAACATCATTTTGGCATTAAATATTAGATATGAATGAATTATTTGGATTTAAACTTTGACGTTAATTTTTTTTCGCTAAATTTTAAAGAAAACAAAGTGAAATGTTTTATTTATTACATTATATGCTTATAGAATTTTTTTTAAAAAAAAATACTATAAACTGGTGCTGGTACTTTCGTCTTTTGAATTTTTTTGCATACTATAGACGAAGATCCAGTTATTGCTCTATTTTCTTAGTAAATAATAAAATAATTATGAGATCAATATCAAAAATATTATTAATAATAAAAAATTGTTTTATTTTACCAGTTATAAACATCAATAATTTCTTGTTTTTTAATTATTTGTATTACTATTTCCTTTTATAATCATTTTTAGGATACTATTTTTTTAATTAGTTGATTTTTTTTGTTCCTAATATTAAAAAGTAAATTAATATTTAAAAGAGTTTTAGATGTACTAACATAATTTGATTATTGAGATCATTTATCACGAATGAAAAGAAATAATTATTATAATTCTGAAATAAGCAAACTAATTGAAAAGGTTATGTTTGATATTTCCAAAATAAATAAATTATTACTGCTACTGCATTACGTAAAAAAGAGTATATTTTATATGAATATCAGATATGTTAATACCAACCAGAGTTCTATCACATGCTAACTAGAATCATGCCAGCTCCAGCTTTTTCATTTACGTTTATGGAATTAGCCTCAAGAAATAAATTATCAAATTAACGTTCAAGGTTGTGGTGGCAAACACGGGCACAGCCTTACAGGATTTAAACGAGGATCAACACGTCTATTAACCAATAAATTTTGAAAATTTGTCGCACAATAATTCCTAAATAGGTGCTGATCGGCGGATATGGATAAACCAAATGTTTCTAATTAAAATTTTTTACATGCAATTAATTTCAGATTTCTTGAATCAAGTAATTTTTATTTTAAAATTTTTATTTATTTATATAACGACAAGCTTGTATTAGAAAGAAATATATAAATTTAAAAATTTTTAAAATTTTTAAAAATATTTTTTTTTAATTTAAAGAATAAAAAAATCTAATTTATCATTTTGGCAAAATAGTTTGACGATTTTCAACAACTGGCTGAGACGAATTGCGAAAACTTTGTTTAAAAAAAATTATTCATTATAAAAGAAAATTTCAAATTTCAAATTTCAAGTTTAGAGTTAAGAACGTCTATTTTTCCGTAAAATAAAATCATTTGTGACACAACATTTACACTATTTTTTTTTAAGTATAATCAGCGGCAAATAGTTTGGGATTATTGAAGAATGCCAACCGAAAGCCAGCTGAAATTGGATCAGACTTTTGAAGCCCACCTAATACGAGCGTCTCACTATCGACGTGACCACATGAGTCTCACTTATGGCTTTCCTTTTAATGCCATAATTTATGGTGATGCTGGGAAGTTCGCAGTAATTATAACTGCATATTAAATAATATTAATTTTATAAATCGTATTTTGTTTTCATGTCAATTATATCGAAAAAAAATCTTTGATATATCAGATTTTCTAAATTCAAAGTCAATTTATCCTTTTTTAAGTATACCTTTAACAATTTTTAAAAAAAAAGCCTAATTCCGATCATATAATTAATCATTTAGACAAAATTCTTTTATACAAATTTCATACAAGTATTATATTCAATCAAATTTAGAAATAGCTTATTTTTTTATAAAACCTTGAAACACTGGAATACTGGATTCCTACATTAATTTAATTTAGTATTGATATATCGAATATATCAAAATGAATCTAATATACTAAGAATTTATTATGTCATGTTGCATTGAAAATAGATATTTAATACTAGATATTAAAACATAATTTGGTAACTAATTATTGTTTACATTTTAAAACCAATTACATTTTACATAAATCGTTTAATTTTCCGTATATCGAAATTTGGAATCGTCGAATAAATTGCAAGTTTAAGTAGATTTTTATGCGAAGTTTATTTTATACTGTTTTTTCTCAATATTTCTTCTTTTGTATGCGATTCTTATTTTTTATAAAGGACGAGTTGATTTACTCATCATATTCTTCCCAAGATAAATAATAATCTTAAATGAAAAATTATAACTTCGAACAGTTAAAAATAATAAATTTTTATCTAAATAATTGTTAAGTACGAGAATAATTTATAATTAGATTGTGGGGTTTTTAAACTTTACATAGATTATTACACAATATAAATAAAACCCTAAATTTTAATTTAACTTATATCAAATTTATTAAATATAGAAATTCGCTATCTTGGTCTTTCAACTTGATATTTATTAAAAAGATCTGTTTCTCTTAATAAAATAATTTTGCAAGGAATAAAACTAAATTTTTTGATAACTATATAAAGATTATAATTTTTGGAAAGGTGTCAATATGTCTGTGTACCTATATATGGAGGAGAATTAGTTCAAGCCATGTCGAAATATTACGGCACATTACACCAATTTGACATTACACCGGCGTAATATTATTTTAATATGAATCTTCGAACAAAAATTTGGTGTAATAAATTTCACCATTACACCGCCGCCATTGTATAGTTGTAACATTATCATCACATTTAATTTGGGCCAAAAGTTAAAGGCTAAATTATTACCTTACTACCTCATACGTATATACCCCTACGAATATACGGAAAAAATACTTAAAGGTACGATGTTGATGCAGTGATGTAAACTTTAAGAAATATCTGCATCTCTATTCATAACCATGCTCTAATTATATAGGTAAATTTTCGACGGTATAGAAGTATATCCATTTATAATTCAAAATATTTCAACAAAATAATTATTTATTCTTTCCCTGATTGTTAGACATTACTAACTGCACTCGTAATGAAGCTACTGTAAGTCTCTAACGAATAAACTAACTTCAATCATAAAATTATTCACATGAAAATGTAATTTATACATTTTGAATGGCAATATTTTTATTTTTATAATTAATTACCTTAATTATCTTAATTATTGATTCTTAAATATCTGTTATTTATGAGTTGACTAGCTGGATGCCCGCGTGAAACGCGGGCCTGGCTAATTAAGATTATGAAAATTAGTTATAAAGTATAGAATGGTTATTAGTATTAATTTGGAAGTTTGTGGTAAATAGGGAATAATAAAGTAATAATAAATTATAAATAAAATTGCACTTAATAACTGAAATTGTATAATACATTAATAGTTATAATGATAGTTATAGTAGTTCACTGGGAAGTTAAATGTAAAACAGCGCATCGTATGCTGATCAACGTTAACAACACATCAAATTGATCAAAATAAACATCATGTATTATTATTTTATACAAACACAGTATTATTTTATTAATTGAATGTATTTTTACATTAACTGTTCTTCACTTCTATTATCACTAATGTAAAGAAATAAATAAAAAAAAAGTTTGTAACAAAATGGTTACAAATTTATCTATCCTCTAAATCATAAATCCAAAATTCCGGTGTCTAGTAAAAACCTTTAAAAGAAGAAAAGAAAAAATGATTAGTAATTATGAAAAAGAATTTTTTTAAAAAAAATCAAAAATATAATTCAAACTAACCTTCACCCTAAAAGGTACTTCTAAAACCTAAAAAAGAGAAAAGGGTTGTTCCTTACAAAAAAAAAAAGCCAAATTAGTGATGTTTTTTTAAAGTTTAAAATTTATTTTTCAGAACTTACCCAAACTCTCAAAAATTGACCATATATACTAAAAAAAAGAAAAGAATGAAACATCAATAATGTTTCATTAAAGAAATAATGTTAGAAAAATTTCATTTACCAAAATTTAAATCCATCCAAGGTGTCACAAAACTGTCTAACCTACAAAATGTAAAACATGAAATGGTAGTTAACATTTCGTATCATTAATAAATAAAAAAATCAATGAAATACACTTATGAATTCCATGTCCAGAAAGACCAAAAGAGCCACCTACAGAATGTAAAAATAAACATTAGTAACATTTTGTTAACTAACATTATGTTAAAGAAGCATTTTAAAAGAACCTACTAAAATTTCATGCATCCAGAATCATGAATAAACTGTATAAAAAAATGAAGAAATGTGATGTTATTAAAAAAATTTTTCAAAAGAAAAAATACTCACCATAACTCTGTTCATGTAAATTATTCCTTATTCAGTTAGTATCTAAAAAAATGAAAAATCAAACCATTAGAAATGTTTGATTAAAAGAAATGTATTAAATCCTTCCTTAATACCAAATTTCCATGCGTCTGAAGACAAACCAAGAAAACTACTGAAATCTAAAAAAAGAAATATTTTTTTTTTAATTAATAATAATGCAACAATTCNGTCTGAAGACAAACCAAGAAAACTACTGAAATCTAAAAAAAGAAATATTTTTTTTTTTGTTTTTTTTTTTGCTTTTTTTGCGTAGTTATTAAATACCTGTAATTTCTGTTATTAGAAATTTTTGATTCCCCCTGATAAAATCCCAGTTCCTAAACCTTTGAGGCATTAGAAATTAAAAATTAAATGTAAAATTTTTTTAAAAGAAAAGGATTTTTTTTTTCATGTGGGAAAATCCAAAATATTTTTTTTAAAAAAAAAAAGAAAATTCGTCATATGAGAAAATCCAAAAAACTGAAATTTTTTATAAAAAAACAATGACGACTTCTAAAATGAATTTCATTGTCACAGTTAAATTATTTTTGTAGCTTAATAAGCTTAATAAATTTTTTATATTATGTTTTTACATCACAATTACTAATCGGATTAGTTGCTATAAATTTGTTCTAATTCAAAATTGTATTGGGATTAGGGCTGCCCAATTAAGCTAATTAATGGCAAATGATGCGCCACTTCGAATCCTATATAAAAATCTGTAGCACAGGACGTCAGGACGCAGACACATGATGCCGGACGATCTAATTTAAATCCAACCTTTTTATGCAGGGTAGTCTCAACGTCTCAGTCGCACAATGCTTTTTTTTATAGATATCAGATATATCGATCGTAATTATTATTTAATTACGTCATACGACAAAACCAGCTACAAATCCTGTATTTACGCTATTTACGCCCAAGAACGTGGTATAAATAACTCAAAAGTCTGCGCTCCTAGATCCAATTCGTAATATCAAGGTAAAAATCTTTATAGAATAACGTAACCAAGTTATTTTTAAGATGACGCTAACTGTTAATAGAATTTATAATTGGAATGCGGCGCATTAAAAGACGAACGATCACAGTAAAACGAAATGATATTAACCATAAAAGTTTAAAGATTCATATGATAATGACTATGAGTTTATTCATAATTTCCTTATATTGATAATAAATTGAAAAAAAAAAAAAATTCCCATGGCTGGGAATATTATAACAAATAATATTTAAAAGTTTCAAAATCAAATACAATATTCATTTTTTTTCCAAACGACAAAATGGCACTCAAAAGAATTAATAAAGTATATTGATTGTTGCTTCATTTACAATTTTCATTTTTCATATATTCTCCTTTTTAATTCTTTACATATCTCCTACTAGGAATTACACGACCTTCATCGTGACCCACCATCTATTTGTAGTGTTGGCCTTGTTGGGGATGATCTTTTTCATTGGCAAGCGATAATTATGGGTCCCGTAAGCACTTTTTAGCTAGCTTATATATCAAATCTTATCAAATGCATAGAAGACTTACCTTATAACTTTGATTAGCCTGACTCACCATATTCAGGTGGTTTATTTTCCCTTGATATACATTTTTCTACAGATTATCCATTTAGTCCACCAAAGGTATATTTATTTCTATATTTCGTATACTTTAATTGCGTACTTACTCACATGTTATACATACTAGGCTAAATTTATAACAAGAATTTACCATCCGAATATTGACAATCATGGAAATATCAGCGTGGATATTTTAAGAGATCAATGGTCACCAGCGTTTACTACTTCAAAATGTAAAATTTAAAAATAAAGTTTGTTCATAGTTTGCTACAATTTTTCTATGCAATAAAATTTAACTAAGCATCACTCTTTATTTAAGTGCTCCTGATGATTTATTTATTCATAACAAATCCAGATCCAGGTATATTTTATATCATTATTCATATTTATCTTCGTTTTGATTGATTCGATTAATAATAATTATTAATAATATAAGATGATCCACTTGTACCTGAAATTGCGCATGTATATAAGACTGACCGTGATCGTTATGAAGCTACTGCTCACGAATGGGCTTGCAAATATGCTGGTAGTAAGTATAACTAACCATACGATCTTTAATTAAAGATTTAGATAGACACTATTCTCAAGATCCGTTTATTTTTTAATATCCTTATTTCAAATAAGGTAATCCGAGGTATCTGAATTATTACAACGAAGAAACAAAAGAAATAAAAGGTACTCTTTGCAAAGTAATAGTCTGTAGATTATTAGAAAATTCTGGTAGTTCTCCATGTGGAAAAACCTACATTATGGACGATGGGTCACTTGAAAATGCAATAATCCATTTAAAAAACTATCATGACATTTTCGTTAACGGATATGGAAAAGTATGTAATGCTTGCTTTTCTTATGATAATTTGTCATCTCAAGTCAAACAAAACTATAACATATTTGTATGATTAGTAATCTTCACTTTTCCGTCTCATAGCGTAAAATTTTCGAAAATCAACAGATATTAGGTACAAATAGACATCCTGAAAATGAACAAGAATTATGGAAATTACTTAATGAATTGATGATAGAAGATTCTCAAGTTATAAGTGTTATTGCAAGAGGAAAATTTCGTCAATTTATTCATAAACTTAATCCTGCTTTTGTTATGCCAAGTTCAGAAACTGTAAATTCAATTATTCATGAATCCTATAACTCATCATTCTCACAACTTCAACAATATATCAAAAAAGAAGCTACATCTATTTCTCTTGCAGTAGATATCTGGACAGCTAAAAATAATCAGGGTTATTTAGGTATCACTTGCTCATTTTTGGATCAAAAATGTGAATTACGTGAAGTTACCTTAGATGTTGCTTATGTCAGATATCCTCATACTTCAAAACATATACTGGATGCTCTTGAAGATGTGATATCTAGATGGAAAATTCGTGATTTAATATTTACTATTACAACAAATAATGAAAGTAATATTAAAAAAGCAATTCTTAACATGGAAAAAGTAAACTGGTTAGGTTGTACCGCACATACATTACAATTAGTAATCGAAAAGGCAATGAAACCAGCTGAAATATTAATAGCACGTGCTAAGCATTATGCAGATTGTTTGGAACATAATGAATTTCTTGAGGAGAATAAGGAAAAAATTGTAAGTATACTAAGTACATTTAAATATTATAATAATCAAATCATGAAATTGTATAATAATTTTATAATATATGTTATAGAATCCTTCTGAACTCTTACATACTATTATGAATTTGTCAACATGTTGGGATCCTCATATCCTTATCAGAAAAGATTTTAGGAAGTGTGAACAAATTATGTTGTCTCATGATGAACAGAGATCGATTCAGAATCTTCAATCAATTTTAAAACCTTTTTTAGAAATTACTGAACTTTTAAGAGAAGGCATCCATTGCACTTATTCTTTAATAAATCCTGCGTTACTTAATATTAAGAATAAAAAATTTTGTTCAGAAAACGTGAACACAATGAACACAATGGAAATTGATTCTGAAGACGAAGAATTTACTTTCGATGAGAGAATTCAAATTGTTGAGTCTGCAAACTGTACTGAACTTATTGACGAAATAAAGTTCTTTCTCTCTGCTGCTATAGACCATTATTGGAAAGATCTCTCAGATCCAAAATTAATTCTTTTTAGCCTTTTAGATCCTAGAATAAAAAGATTATCCTTTATATCTGGTCCGGAAAGAAGTGTTGTTAAAGATTTATTGTATGAAAAGTACATAGAAATGGAAACAAATATAGAAGCTGATAATCATATACACAAATATAAGCAAAGTCAAAAGAGAACAAGCTCAATATTGGCTAATTTAAAGAAACCAGTTCGTTCTATGGGTGCTGAGGTTATTGAATATTTAGATCAAGAAGAAATTGGTTTGGAAAACAGTCCATTTACGTGGTGGAAAGAAAGAAAAGAAAAATTTCCTATTTTATACCCTTTTGCTATGAAATATTTATCTGTCTATACAACTTCAACTGTTAATGAAAAACTGTTTTCTGAGGCGTATAATTTAATTGATAATGGAAATTCTGATATATTTAAATATCTAATTTTTTTAAAACAAAATGATAAGAATGTAGAATTGATTAACAGTAGATCTTAAAAAAGAACCTTCTGTATTTTATATTATTTTTTATTATATTATTCTTAAAAATAAATAAGCTTGAGAAATTATTGATTAACAATTACTTTTATAAATAAAATTACTTTAAACTAACATGTTATAGTTCTTTTTCTTTTATTTTTCTTTTATTATTGCTTAGATAATATGAATTTTTTATTACCAAGCAGTTGTCAAGCATTATTTTAAAGTATGAATGGAATGTATAAATTAGAAAGCGAAATACTTAATAATAGCATTAAGTATTTTCTGGTTTACATACACTATGGCAGTAATAATTAAAAAGAAGTTATATAATAGTAAGCATGAAGTAGGAATAGGGGTCGTATAATTACACTGGTTGAATGATGAGGTGTCGGGTCATGACATATCGGCCAAATAATCAGAAACTCGATATTCGGTATAATGTTATAAAGGACTAGACTTTGAGAATAAAATGGAGATATGATTGTCCTAAGAGATACATGAGACATTAAGACATGGACACAGAGCCGAATTTCTAATCAAAGAAATGGACAAGGAGCAAATATTGATTTTTCTTAATTTTTTAATTTTTCCGAAATGTAAAGTCAAAGCTTCCTTATTAAAATTAAATTTATCTTTTCGGGTGGATATTTTCAGACATCTGTAACGAAATGAATTTATGAATTTTTTCTATATTTAAATTTCAAGTTTTAGAATAAGGATAATATTTAAGAGCGTGTTTATTTAGGTTTGTCACTTGTAACGCAGTAACTACAGCATAATGTCATTTATTTCTGCCAATCAATTGTAACAAAGTTATATCATATTTCTTTTTTAATTATGAACGTTACAAATGTTACATAAAATTAAAATTCATCGAACTCTTCAAAAAATTTTATTTTATTTAAAATCCAGTATAAGAAGAGTTTGGATATCTTGATGTACCGGATATTTTCTCTGGAATATACTTGTCCAATTTTTCGCGATCGCTTGTATATAATTCAGATTAATTTAATACGGAATATCGGATATATTAAAATGAAATTTAGATGTTTTATAATATATTAAGAATCTATTATATCATATTGCGTTTAAAACAGATATATAATATCAATATTTCAATAAATAAAACGGCTTTGAATAAATTTCTAATTTAGTAAACCCAAGCAAGTCCCGAGTTAGGTTGATATATCTTAAATTTGAGATAAATTTGAATCATTGGTTAAATAAATTATCAAAGAAGTTTATTTTGTGTTATTTTTCTCAAAATTCTTTTTTTATACGCACTTCTAATTTTTTTTGATAAAGAGCAAGATGGTTTACTCATCATATTCTTCCTCTCAAAGATTGTAATAACTTTGAAGTTCGAGCGATTAAAAATAACAAATTCATTATTATTGAAACGCAAATTTATGAATCTTCAACGACTATAATGTGAGAATAAACAGATTAAACAAAATCGGATCTTTTAAATTTTACAAGAAATTTAAATAAAAATCCTAAATTTTACATCAAATTAGTTTGATATAAAAATTCGCTATTTTGGTGTTTCAACTCAATATTTATATATAGGAATTTTTTTTTTTAGAATATTTAATAAAATAATTTGGCAAGGAATTTTTGGATGTATTAAACTAAATTTTTTTTGAAAATTATGAATAACATAAAATTTGAGGGATTCATATTTTGAAAAAGCGTCGATATTTTTTGTTATACTTTCATCTGCAACAGCGAACGGCGCATAAGAATTCCTTTTAGATTTATTAAAATTAAACATCAAAAAAATTAAATGTATTGAGGATGATCTTTTTCAATATTAGCAAGCGACATTTATTTGTCTTGTAATTTTTTACATAATACTAGCGTAAAACGTTATGATTCAACAATTATTCTATTTCCTGAATACTATTTTTTAATTATGCTGTTTGTCTATTCTCAAATGATTTATTTTCCTTGATACCATTTCTTGCGAATTACTGTACTGCAGATACCTCGAATAATACTAAATATCTGGTTTAAATATTGTACAATACCCTGGACTCTTGTGCAATGCGGTATGGTATCTGTGAAATTATCAGTATGTAATATTTTATCGAAAATGCGCGCAGCATCAAAGAGTTGTATGCTAAAAAAATAACTAAATTAAAAATAAAATGATACTAATTATAAAGAGTTAAAATCCGTAATATGATAATCACATTTAAAAACAGGAAAATTCATTTTTAGGATTAATTTTTATTTTTATTTTTATTTACGGGTATCAGCTTGTAACCTCCTAACTGCAATTAGATTATTACGTAAAAATTAAAAATTGAAAATTTACTACTAAACTACCAATGCAAATAACAATCTATTCTAATCAGTGGAACAAACCATGAAGAAGACACTAAGTGGGTAATTAATGTAACAAAACATAACACCATGGCACAAAAGCCATAATATGTCCACTACGCAAAGTCCGAAAACCAAAACCCGTACCTTGCAGGTTGACTACAAAACAAATATCGCCAGCCCCTGAAAAGTAAATACCCCACACTGTCGATAAAAATAAAATTCAACAAGTGACTATATTACCAGAGTTAATATACTACCTAAGACTAACGTAAAAAAAAACCGAAAACTTCTTTCTTCCTCTCAAGGAACCAAATTCACCTAAATTAATAGATAAGCGTCGCTGGACCCAAATAGCTCCAAGAATAGTATCCCGGTAAATATAAAAATCAATTGCGCGGCTAGGGCCAACTTCTTTAACGAAATAGTGCCAATCTGAACCGCAGTAAAAAACCCGTATGTGCTCAACGTAATCTCACCTGACCAAAAACTGATCACCTTACGGTCCTTACGCCAACTCTCAAAAAGAAATGATCCCCAAACCATAGGATTATTTAAAAAAACGATACTCGTGACAACGGGAATATTCACCAAATAAAGTATTTTGGCGCAAATAGGATAACCTTA